GAATTGGGGAAGCCAAGAATTCCTGGAAACAAAGTTTAAAAATATTGAGTGCTTGTAAAATTTTTGGTGGCATTGTTGTAAGTTGTGGGAATTGTTTTTTCCTTCATGAAGAACTAAGTCATTACAGTAGTGTAAAATCTTATGTAAATAACTTTGAACTGGTTTCCCGAGACCAGTAAGAAGACTTTCATTCTACAAGTCTCTTAAGCAAGCAATCTTTATATGGTTAAGCTTGAGGAAGAGAGAATTGTTTGGTAAGAATTTTCTGCCATTTGGTGTTAATAGTATTGCAGTTTAGGCTTTGGTAGGGCAATGTCCTGGAAAATGAAGGAAGAAAGTATATCAAGTACATAGTTGTGGTTTTATGCTTTGTTTGTTTGTTTGTTTTTGGTTGAGCCAATTACATAGCAGTTGTAAATCCTCAATGGTTACAGGGAAAACTACTTGATATCTTTCTACTTAAATATAGGTAGATAGATAGATAGATAGATAAGGAAAAGATTTGATATCTAGTTGGTGCTTGAAGTTTGTTGAAAATACTTTTATGACTGGGCATGGTGGTGCAGGTTAGGCCAAAACAGAAAGATTGTGAATTTGAGGCCAGCCTGGGCTTCCTAGTGGGAGCTTATCTCAAAAAAAATTACGTAAGAAGAAAATGAAGCTTACAGAATTAAATATAACTGATTCTCTTCTCAGGACACTAACATATATGCAGTGTGTAATTGTGATTAATACCAGTCATTTTTAGGTGTATGCAGAAATATTCTTCATATGTTCTGTATAAGGTATCTTATTTACTTTTCTTGTTGCTGAGACAAAATACCTGACACCCAAAGTTAAAGGAGGAAAAGTTTATTTGGCTTACAGTTTGTAGAGGTTTCAGTCCATAGTTGGCTGGATTCAAGCCAGGGTACATGGCAGAGGGGCATCGCAGAGAAACAGTTTGTGGCAGGAATAAGGCAGAAAGCAGAAAGCAACAAGCAACCAGCAGTCCTCTTTCTGTCTCTTATATTTTATACAGGCTATCTGCCTCAGGTGGCACTCACACTCTTAATCCTAGCATTGCACTGTGAATTAATCCCAGCATCACTCACTCTAGATCCGTCCACCTCCAAAAAGCCCCACCTATAACCACATGAGGCTTTGGGGACATCTAGATACAGCCATGACAGTTAGTGACATTTGAACTTTAATAGTTCTGGCTAGGCTTTCAGATATTGAGATCTTGAAATAGTCTTACACCTGGAACAGGTTACAACTAGGATAACCATATAATTTATTATGCAGTGGGACACTTTTGAGAAAGGGGGCTTTGCTTAAAATTAAGGTAGAATTAGGTTATGGGCAGACCAGGACATACAGTCACCCTGTTTGTTCATATTTTTTATGTGTGTGGCAATGGAAATTGAACACAGGGCCTCACACTGAGCTGTATCCCTACCCCTTGTTATTTTTCATTTTGAGATAGGATCTCACTAAGTTGCTCAGGCTGGCCTTGAATTTGGAATTCTGCTGGGATTATAGGCATGTGCCACTGGGCCTGGCTTTTTGTTTTTATCTTTTTAGGTAAACTTTTAATTAAAATGTACTTTAAGAAAGCCCAAGGGCCCTGAGGCTGTAGCACAGTGCTAGAATGCTTGCCTAGCATGTGTAAGGTCCTGGGTTTGATTCCTAATACTGTACCACCAGAAAACTCAAAAGATTAAAAAGAAAGTCCTGGACACCTTGAATATTTGAGCTATCAAGATTAAGAAATAAAACATTACCAATATCACAGAAGCCTTCTTCACAAATTCCATTGGTAATTTAAAATTTTTTTAATTTCAAGATCCATTGTTTTGACTTTTAGCAGTAGATAAATTTTGCCTATTTTTTGAACTTTTATGTAAATGGCACTGTATAGAATATACTCTTTGTACCTGGCCTCATTGATCTAGTGTTCTCTTGTTAAATACATCCATGTTGTGTGTAGCAATAGTTTACTTTAAAAATATTCCATTATATGAATATACTGTGGCTTATACAATACACTGTTGACAGTTGGGTTGCTTTTAGTATTTGGAAAATGGGAATAATACTGCTATAAGCATACTTGTTTTTCATTATTTGGTGAACATATATATACTAAGTTGGGTGAGTAAATAATTAGAAGTGGAATTGCTAGATCTTAGGATATGTGACTGTTCAGTTATATAGTAGGTAATGCCACTTTTCCTAAGTAAGTCTGTACTTCATCCAGCCGTAGATGAGAGTTGCAGTTACTCTGGAGCCACCAGGGCCTGCTCACATCTTAAAGGTCTCCCATCTCTTTTTTCTTTTTTGGTACGGGGGATCGAATTCCCGACCTTGCGCTTGTGAGGCAGGCGGTGGAACCACTGAGCTAAATCCCCGGCCCAGGCCCCCATCTCTCAATGCCGTATTGCGGCAGTTAAATTTTGGAGGGGGTACATTCAAACTATAGCACCATTAAAAGGAACATTTCATTGACTTTTAGTACATTCAAGATGTTGTGCAGCTACCACCTCTATTCAAAAACAGTTACTCTAAAATAAAACCCCTTAAGCAGTTTCTCTCTACTCCTTCACCAGTCTACATTCTGTCTTTGTGGATTTATCTGGATACTGATTCTATATATTTCATGTAAATAGAATCATACACTATGTGGCCTTATGGGTCTGACTTCTTCACTTGACATGTTTCTGAGACTCATCCATGTTGTAGTATGGGTCAGGACTTATTTTTTTAAGGCTGTATAGTTTCCATTGTATATATATATGGTGCAGTTTCTTTACTTATTTGTTGAATGACATGTGGGCTGTTTGTGCTATTTGGCTATTAAGAACAATGCAGCCAGGCTGAGGGTGTGTATAGCTTGATGGTAGAGAGCTTGCCTAACAGTGCTGCTGTAAACCTGTGTTAGCTTGTTAAATACTTGTTTTTAATTCTTTGCAGTATATATCTAATATTGGAATTGGTAGGTCATGTGATAATTTTAGGTTTAACTTTTTTTTTTTGGTACTGGGATTGAACTTGGGACCTTGGGCTTGTGAGACAGGCGGCGGAACCACTGAGCTAAATCCCCGGCCCTCTAGGTTTAACTTTTTAAGGAGCTACCAAACTACTTTCCACAGCAGCTGAACCACCTTACATCCTACTAGTCGCATGAGGAGTTTCTGATTTCTCTAAAGCTTTGCCAGTAGTTGTTATTTTCTGTAGCTTTGATGTTTCTGGTGGTATTAGAAGTGGTAAGTTAGGGTTTTTTGGTTTTTTTTAAACTTCATTCTCTATTGCTGGTGTATATAGAAATTTGTTTTTCATATAAACTTTGTATCTGTTGAACTTGTTGAATTCATGTGATAGTTCCAATAGTTTATTTATTGGATATTTTTGCCTATATTTGAATTTGCTGATTTCCAAATGCTTTCATATTCTTCTTTTTTAAAGCAGTTATTATTGTAAGGATACAATATTTTTGAAAATGGCTCGAAGGATATTTACCTAATTTTTTTTTTTTTGGTACCGGGGATTGAACTCGGGACCTTGCGCTTGCGAAGCAGGTGGTGGAACCACTGAGCTAAATCCCCGGCCCTCGAAGGATATTTATTAAGGCTTTAAGTTCTCTAAATTTTTCATTAAATTAGATTGATTTTTCACTTTGGTTCTTTCGTACATATTTCTTGAATAGCGATCCTTGGTAATCTCTCATGTATGAAGGACTAGGATGGTTGGTTTTGGTAGCTGATCTTTGTGGATATTGGAGCAACTTCATGGTTAGCCCTACTTCTCTTTTGTCTCTAGCACCTATCTGCATGCACATTTGGATAGTAAGCCTGGAGTCAGAATTTATGCAGGAAGTAAGGCTCATAAGTGATTCTTCTGTTCTTTGAGCAGTATTTTAATTACCTTTATTTCCTAATCAAGTTTCTTCATTCTGTTTTTGGGGTTTGTCTCCTAGGCTCTAGGGGATTGGTAAAGGGAACTCTTACTTCCTTATAGTAGTCCTTTATTAAATGTTTTGCTTGGGTTGCTCATTCTGCTATGGCTTCTCTGTCAGTTGAGCCTCAGTTTTTCTTATAGGAATTCTCCTACTTCATTCTCTCATGCCAATCCCTTTTTGCTTGTTTAATGGAATTATTTTTTCACATTGTTAAGAGATTTTTTTAATTATGAAAAATTTGGACATATACAGTACATGGATCTCCTTTTCAGTGTAACTAAGACACAAATATAATTGAAACTTCTTATTTTTTCAGGCATCTCAATACTCTATCCTGTGCGTGAGCATTTCTGAGTAGTACAGAGCATTGTTTCCGTTGTGCTTTAGTCTTAGGTGGTAACATACTGCATGCACCTTTTTGGTTGTTTTTCATTCATTATGATTCTTTTGTTTATTTTGTTAGTGTAGCTTTTCTGATGTTTCAGTGGAATTTGAGTAGAGAGCATAAATTATCCTGTGTATTTCTTACTATGCCTTTTTAAAAGGGAAATTTAAACACCTTTTGAATATATTGTCATTATCTGACATGTAAGAGAAAGAATTTGGTGTTACCTCTTCTTGTTTCAACTGGTGATGATAGGTGAATATGACACCTAGCAATGTTACACTAGTAGGCAATTGAGTCTTACTGCTGACCTGCATTTGGTGTTATAAATTCCTTTGGGGACAGAGAAACACTATTCAGTTGTGTTTAGGGTTTAACAGAGGTTGAATAAAGATTTGGGTTATTGCTGGAAGGAATTTTAGTACAAACTGTACTAAAGAACCCTGGCCCAGAAAAGGTGAGTTACTTGTCTGAGGTGAAGGGAAAAACACAAGGTTAGAATAACCTTTTTTGTTCTTTCTACTTTATTGAACCAGAGGTTAGCATCCTCTGTGGTTAATGCTTATGTTGATTTTTGCCTTCCTTTTAAAATGTTTACTATATATGAATACCAAGAAATTTTTACTAAGAATGAACATAAATCCTTGAACTAATACTTTATTTGTCATGTTTTCTTAGGGTCAAAATGGTTTCAATCCCAGAATACTATGAAGGAAAGAATGTTCTCCTGACAGGAGCTACTGGTTTTCTGGGAAAGGTGCTTCTGGAAAAGTTGCTGAGGTCTTGTCCTAAGGTGAAGTCAGTGTATGTTTTGGTGAGGCAGAAAGCTGGACTGACACCCCAGGAGCGAGTGGAAGAAGTTCTTAGTGGCAAGGTAAGTTGAGAATGATCATTTGCAGAGGAGAAAAAAGTGTGTGCTTGTACCAATAATAATGGTAAGCATACAAACTTAATTTTTCAGTATTATAATTAAGTTGCTACAGGATGGAATCAATCAGAAGAAAAAGCTTTTCATGGGTAAAATTTTCTCACAAGTTTTAAATTACCTTTATGGTAGATACTTAAACTATGTTTTCAGGACACTTGAGGCAGGTTGTCTTTAGTAGTTTAAATAGTCTTCAGATAATAATTAGATAGTTTTGAATTACCTGTTGCGCTTTGATAACGCTTGAATTTATAAGGACTGAAATTGTTTTTCATTAACAGTATAAGGAAGTAGAGTGGTCACATTTGAAAGTCAGTATTTGAAAGATGACAGAGGTCATACAGGATGTCATATATTTTTGAGTCTTTAGAAAAATGTTGCTAAGAAAAACTAGAAATGAGCCAGAGTAAAATTATTTCAAAATCATAGTAAGGATGTAAATTCTCTCGAATGAGTTTATGTGACATTCATTGATTCTAAATTTGGATTGGAAAACTCTTAAGCTTGATTTTGGTACACTGCAGGCATCTCTCAAAAAGGAATTTCCATTATAACATTTATTTTTTAATAAGAAGGATACTCACGTAAGTGTCTAAATTTTTATAGGCTTGTTAATAAAAACCCCAAACTGTAGAAAATCTCTCTAGAGCAACCTCAGACTTTTCACTTTGAATGAACTCATAGAGTTCTTTGTATTGAAACTAATTGTCCTGTCACATTACCATATCTTTGATGCTGTGTGGCAAATACTCCTTGTAATGTTGGGTTTTTTTTTGACCCTAGAATTTGAGAGTATTTCTCACAAATTTAGAAATTATCTTTACACTTTTTATTCAAATTAGTCTATATTAGTCTCCCTTAACCATGTAATTTTTTCTTTTGTAATTCTTTGTTGAATCCTTTTTTTCCCTTAAAATCCATAAAAAACTAGGCTGAGGATTAGGTTCAGTGCACCAGCACCTGCCTTTAAAATGCAAGAACCTGAGTTTGATCCCCAGTACCAAAAAAAAAAAAAAAACCTATGAAAAACTCAAAGTAGAAATAAAAGGCACAATAAAAGATGGATGGTAGGAAACAGGGAAATAATCTGTTTTGCAAGTATGAAGTGGATTAAGAGAAGTTGAGGGTTGGGCCTGGGGATTTAGCTCAGTGGTGCCACAGCCTGCCTCGAAAGAGCAAGGTCCCGAGTTTGATCCCCCGTACCAAAAAAAAAGAACTTGAGGGTGGTGACCTAAAAAGAATTAAAATGTCTTATGTATATGTACCAACTACCTATACTGAATGTATTACAAATGTATACTTTTAAAAAAACCTAGGAGAAAAGAGTCATCGAGGAGGCTCTATGACCACCAGGCCTTTTCTAAGTAAAAATGCCTGCATGTGAGTTTTGTTGCTTTCTCTGCCCTTTGTTTACCAATCTTGTCATTTTATCTTAAACTATTGATAAGGATGTGTTTTAATACCTGCCTCCCAACATCTCATTCTGCCACTGAGGGATTCAATTTCTTTTCTTTTTGGTACCGGGGATTGAACTTGAGACCTTGCGCTTGTGAGGCAGGCATTGGAACCACTGAGCTAAAACCCTGGCTCTTTTTTTTTTTTTGCTACTGGGGATCGAACTCAGGACCTTGCGCCTGCAAGGCAGGCTTGGTGCCACTGAGCTAAATCCCCAGCCCCAATTTCGCTTATTTTTAAGAAAACATTTATTATGCCTATTTAGTCTTGGGCATTTGACTTGACATAGGGCACTGAATTCAGGGATAAATGAGATGGAGTCTTTGGTTTCTGGAGAATTTTTAGGAGGGAGGAGGGAAGGAAGGAATTGTAGAAGTATTGAGAGGGAACTGGACAACAGCAATTGGTGAAGTCGATGGCTTGGTAGGAATGGAACGCTTGAAATACTCTTGGTGTAGGAATTGAGGGCTTGAGTTGTCTTGGTGTAGGAATGGTGGGCCAGAGTAATCTTGGTTAGGAATAGAAGACCTGAATAATCTTGGTGTAGGAATGAAGGGCCTGAGTTGAAATGTTGGAGTTGAGCATCTCCTCTGGGATCTCTAGGGCAGTGCTTCTAAAATTTCCTTAACAGTAAGTCTAATTTGTAAAGAAAATGAGTATTTTGTACTTAAGGTCTGAAATTTTGATGAACATATGACCATTATAAAAATGTTTTGTCCCCAAATACTTGACTAAAATTGATAACTCCATGTTATGGTTTAGATCTAAAAATGTTCTCCCAAAGTCTCATGTTCAGAGCTCATGGACTTTGAGCAACTGAATGGATCATTAGGTCTCTAACCTCATCAATAGATTAACCCACGAATGAGTTCACGGCTGAATGGGCTATTAAGAAGTGTTTCTGAGTTGGAGGAAATAGTTCACTGGGGGCATGCTTTTGAAGGGACTATCTTTTCTCTGACTGTTCATTGCACTCTCTGCTTCCTGGCTGCTGTGAGATGAGCTGCTTTGCTCCACTGTTCCCTTCCATCATGATGTTTCTGCCTTGGAGCCAGATGACCATGGACTGAATCTTCTGAAACTAAGCCAAAAGTAAACCTTTAAGCTATGTATGTCAGATATTTTGTCCCAGTATCATTGTTTTTTGTACAATACAAAAGTAACTAATACACTTATTACTTGTGCCACCAGTTTCCCCCTGCCATATTCCACCACTTAATCCTGGGGCCACTTTTTCCCCGTGTATACTATTGCTGGTGAATTAATAAAATTGAGTCCTTTTTATGTCAGGTAGCATTGAGTATGTATTTTAAGTCCTAGTATGATTTTGAAACAGTAATAACATAGGCAAAGAATATATACCATAGGGGAACGTTAACTTGTAGCAAGGTTTCTCAACTTCAGTATCAGTGACATTTTGGGCTGACAAGTTCTTTACTGTAAGGGGCTATCCTATGTATTTTCCTGGCCTCTACCCCTAGGTACTAGCAGCATTCACCCTCCCTTTTCCTTGTTGTGACGAGAAAACATGTTTCCAGGTGTTGCCAAATGTCTTTGGAGGCCAAAATATCCATACTTGAGAATTCCTGATGCATGAAAATGTCTCAGGGAAAAGAAACTTCATTGGATGATAGGGACTGAATCAATCATTGATCTTGGGGTGAAGTACATGTGGCTCAGTGGTGCTCTTGCCTAGTATGTGCGGGGCCCTGGATTTGATACCTAGCACCACAAAATACAATACATACAATACTATAGTTGATTATAAAGTAAAGTGTGGAAAAGCAGTAAAGTGTATTCCAAAGGCATCAGTGAACTTAATAAAATAGGAAATAGAGTCCTGGTGAGTGAGAATCACTGGGAAAGATGATCTTGAATGAAGAGATGGTAGCTAGAAAATGAAGTAGCATGATTGTGTATATTCTAGTGGTGGCGGTCATCAACAATCAGGAGAATGAAATATGAATCCAAAGTGTTAAGTACTCTTCTGGTCATTCCTTAGGTTTCTTTTTCTCTGCTTGTACCTTAAATATTGATATTCTTCAGGTTTCTGGCCTAAGTCTTGATCTCTTCTTAATAGGTCCAGTGAGGCAGTCACTCAGCACTCTGTGAGTTAAATGGTTATATTTTAAATTAGGTTTGAAAATAGCTTCATACAGTTTTGGTTTTGCTCATTTTGTTTCTGTCTGGGTGGTCTCTCCTCAGGGCTTCAGTTAATGCTGCTGTGTGTGGTTAGTAAAACCTGTGTTAGTTCTGGCGCTCTCTCCATTGAACTCAAGACCCACGAACCCAATAACTCTACAGTGGTATCTAGATACTTTACACTCAGCACTCACAAGACTTAATTCCTATGTTCAAAACTATTTCTTTCTTTCCAGGGTTTTCAGTCATTGAAGTTATTCACTTAACAGGTGTTTATCAAATCTGTGTCTTTTCTAGGCAATTTGCTTTTTAGGGCCTATGTACTAAGCAAAACAGATGTAGTGCCTTGTTCTCTTGCAGTTTACATTTCCCATCCCTCAAATCTAGTCATTGGCCAACTTCAGTTGATGTTACCTCCTAAATCTTTCTAAAATTTTTTTTTCATTTTATTCTGGAACACTAGTCTTCTACTTTATAATTTCAGGCCCTTCTCTCCCTCACTTTTGTCCCCAGTGCTCGTACACATGCATGCATGTGTTATTTTCCTTCAGATCTCAGCTTAAGTATCATCATTTCCTTGAGAAGTTGGATGTGGTCTTACTAAGGTGGGTTGGCATGTGTCCAGTGCAGTCTCATAGCGCTATATTATTAATCTATTTATAATACTATAAATTGTCCATTTACTTGTCTAGTTTTTAGTACTAGACTGTGTAAACAACTTGAAGGGAAAGTCCATTTTCTTGTTGTCTCACAATATAGAAGGTACTTGGCTAATTTGAAATGCTTAGTAAAATTTTTTTAATTAATAAGACACTAATATTCAAGTAATTAGGAATAGTGGAGGGAGAGAGTGTTAAATATGAAAGTTGTTTAGGAAAGTGAAAGTGGGCATTGTTTGTAATACATAGTCATTCTTCCCAGGTTAAGAATCTTGTTAAAACTTCAAGGATGGGCTGTAATTGGAGTGGAGAATCATAATGTGATGGAGCTGTAGGTAGCATAGGTGTTGTTCTGTTATGTTTGGCATAAAAAACTAAAACTTTATTCATAACTGAATGTGCCTCTGCACTTTAATTATCTCATGATCCAATTGGTTATCCAGGAAAATTTATTCCTTTGGATATAAAAAAATGTTGCAGTTTCAATCTAAATCTTATATTTTTTTTTTCCAAAGTTTGCCTAATTTATAGTCTATATATTTGCTTCCCAACTTTTCTTTTTAAAAATTTGTTCTAAGATTTTAGGTTGAATGTGAATCATAGTACTTTATTCTACTAAAAAGGTATAGAACTAAAATGAAATAAAGTGATAAATTAAGGTCTAGATTTTAGAAATCTGAATGATCCTTTTAAAACATTGTTTTGACACATTGCTTAAGTCTACTCTGAGGAAAAATCTAAATGACCAAAGTGTGTAGAGTTTGTATTCACCTCTGCAAACTCTCACTTTTCTGTCCCATAGGATGTTTTCTCTAATAATAGCAACTTTAGGAATTGTATAGTGTAAGTTGTTAAAAATATCATCTTTGGTGGGGAAAAGGGTTTATAGTGGGTCTTAGAAAATGGAAAAATATCCCAAAATAAACATTTCTCCTCTTTGATAGCTCTTTGACAGATTAAGAGATGAAAATCCAGATTTTAGAGAGAAAATTGTAGCAATCAACAGTGAACTCACCCAGCCTAAACTGGCTCTTAGTGAAGAAGATAAAGAAGTCATCATAGATTCTACCAATATTATATTCCACTGTGCAGCTACAGTACGGTTTAATGAAAATTTAAGGTAGGTTCAAGTATTTGTAATATTTGAACTTTTTAATCAAGTTGTTTTGAAAGTGATTGAAACTGATTGCCATATATTTGTTGACTGTGGCATTCATTCTATAGAATATTAAAAGTATTTATCAGTTTAAAAACACAAGATAACTTTGTATGTTGACTACAAGTGCTTGTCATGAATTTAAACGTGAGAGAAAGGCTAAAAATCAAGAAGAAACCTTGTGTGGTGGGCTCATTCATAATTCCAGCACTTGGGAGGCTGAGGCAGGAGATTGCCTGTTTGAGGCCAGCCTGGACTTAGTTGGTTCAAGGCCAACGTGGAACACAGTGAGACCCTGCATCAACAAACAAAGAAATAAAATAATTGGAGAAGATTAAAAACACTGCTTTGGTAGCAATTAGAAGCAAGCTACATTGGATGTAAGTTTAATTTAGAAAATACTTTGGACTTGAGCATGTTTCTTTCAAGAAAATAAATAACAGTGTAGGGCCAGGGATTTTGTTCAGTGGTTTCGCCGCCTGCCCTGCAAGTGCAAAGACCTGAGTTTGAACCCTGGTACCAAAAAAAAAAAGAAAGAACAGTGTAAGTGTTCATTATTTAAAAAAATATAATGATAATGCATTTAGAATAATGGTTCTTAGTTCAGACCATTCTTTTTGATTGTTTATCCAAAAATACAGGGTTTATGATATTTGTCTAATTTATAGTCTTACAATAGTTAAAACAGTATAGGTTCCTTTTAAGGTTTCAAAACTGTTTGAAGGCCTCCTTTTTAAAATGTTTAAATTGTTATAATTACAAAGGACTGTGGTATTTTTTGCCATATCATCTTATCAAATATAGAAGTATCAACCTAACATTACATAATATGTGAGAGTATGTAATGCCAGATCATTACAGTATGTTTGGTCATTGTAAAGTCCCTTATATTTCTGCAGCAGTGCTTTCATGCATTATGTTATTCCATGCTATTGTTGCCCAGTGTAAAATAACCAAATCCATTTTACACTTAAGAAGCTGAGGCAGCACTGTATTGAAAAGAAAAGAAGCTTGGAAATTGCTGTAGTTCTCCTCTTGACTTATTTATTAACTGATGAGTTCAGGGAAATTATTAACTTCTTTAGGTTTCTTCATCTATAAAATTAAGATAGTATTTCTCAAAAGATTTTTTCTTCCTTTATAAGTTTAAATGATGTGTCAGCTTGCTTATTTACCAAAGAAAATTTGAACATGTAGCAGTTGCTCTATTTCCCTTTTGGTTCTTTCTGTGCAGCCAACAAGTAAAATACTGTGCAGCGATTATGTGTTCATGATTCAGAGGTGATCAAAGAATGTCATAAAACTAGATAATATCTTATTTTCACAAAATGTGTATGTATTATGTCTGTATTTATGTACATGTTTTTCTATATTGGCTAATAATTGTTTTTGGATGATGTACTTACAGGTAGGTTTTTAGTTTTATATAAACTGTATATATTCTACCATGAACACATACTAATCTTCAAATAAAAATGTTTACAAATAAATACCTTTGTAAAAATATTTTCAAAAGCAGTATTTTCAAAGCAACACTTAAATCTTAAAGGATCAGTATTCTCATCAACTAATAAAACTTTTATTTTCCATTAAAAGTTTTTCTTTGCATGTATATGTTTTTGCATATAAATCTAACAGTTCATTTTTATTTTATTTTATTTTATTTTATTTTATTTTATTTTATTTTTTTGGTACTGGGGATCAAACTCGGGACCTTGCGCTTACAAGACAGGTGGCGGAACCACTGAGCTAAATCTCCAGCCCTAACAGTTCATTTTAAACTAATATTTCCAAGATTGTGAATGTAATCCCTAGTTTTTAGTGCTTTATCATTCCCAAAATTCATTTGTATAAAATAGTTAATGTTACAGATATTTTTCTCTGATGGTTCTGGCCTTCATTATTTTCTCAGTAACTAAAAGAGTTCACAAAGCTCTATTAAGCTTAGCATGTTTTCAAGACAAAAAAGTATATAGATAATGGCTAATTGTTACAGTCTTCATTGACTTAAAGGGAGAAATTAGATAGTTTTAAAGGGAAATTTGATTGGTTAACAGGCAGTATTAATGAGGGTGAATCTCATCAAAATAATATTTACAAAGAGGGTGTTCTCTCTTTTTCAGTTACCCTTGGGATAAGGGAGGCTACCATAAATAAAAAGGACATCTTTTCATCATTGTTCTATATTCTTATACTAGAGATACTGTAGTAAAGAGGATTGATACTGTATTTTTCTCTTCTTGTTAAGGCATGTATATTATGTATTCACTGACGAAGCCATAGTCATTGCATCAAAATTATTTCTGTGCAGTAATTTTAATAGATGTTGACATCTAAATGGTGATAGGACTTTAGATTTGAGCCAGATATTCTAAAATACTAGAGGTGGCACTATAAGTAGCCTCTTAAAAAAATAATTATTCCTTATAACCATTTGTTAAATTAATTCAGAAATATAAAATTGCACAAAGCTTTTAGTGCCCAGGAAGAAGGATACATTATGCTTGGTATCTTGGGGAGAAACCAAGATACAGTTGTACGTAGACTCTATTCACCAAGTCCATATAGTCTATTAGAGGAGATAGGAAAGGCTTAAATAACTATCATAGAGAAAACAATGTGGTGTAGTCATACATCAAGTGCTATGAGAATTGAAAGGATATAGTTTTAGATAAGGTCCCTAAATCTTGAGATGGGAAAAAAATTGATAGGAAGATTAGGAATTGTAAATACTGAGAAGGTGAGGGGAGAAGTGGTATTAAGAATAATACAGGAAGTAGTTGACTATGGGGTCTGCTATTCCTTAGGTAGGACAGGTTCAATAGAGAAGTATCAAGAAGCTGGAGACCATTATGATGACAAAGCCTTTGTGTGTGTGTGGGTAGGGGGGGAAGTGTTACTGGGCTTAATACAAGGCCTTTTGCATGCTAGACAAGAGCTCTCTTTACTACCAAGTCCTTTTTATAATTACTTTGAAGCAGAATCTTGCTAAGTTGTCCACATTTCCATCAAACATTATTAATTGTTGGGCCGGGGATTTAGCTCAGTGGTTTCGCTGCCTGCTGCACGAGCGCAAGTTTCCAAGTTCGATCCCCAGTACCAAAAAAAAATTATTAATTGTTCTGGGAGTTTGTGGTGTATGCCTGTAATCCCAGCACTTTTCAAGGCTGAGGCAAGAAGATCTCCATAAGTTCGAAGGCAGCCTGGGCTACATAGTGAGTAGTAATAGTTCAAGGCCATATGTAGTTCAAGGCCAGCCTGAAGTACATGTCGAGACCCTGTCTTAAAAAAAAAAAAAAGAAAAGCAAGTAAGTAAGCAAGCTGGGATGACATGCATTGTGTGCCACTGTGCGTAGTTCAAAAAATAAACAAAAAACAACAGTCTTAAAGGGAGAGATGGATGGACAGAAGGTATGGTTTGGAGAAAACTCATGAGGTTTCAAAAGTGGAGCAATTCTGAGTGATAAGTCCTAGGGTTTAAATATGGAAGTACATTTTCTAAAACAAATAGAAATAAAGATTGACGATTAGAAAAGACCAAGAAGCTAAGACATTGTAAAACTTCAGAATGTATTATTTATCTTAAAAGTTATAGAAAAATGTGTTTAAAAATACATATTTCTGGACTGCAATTGCTAAATTCTGACCCTCTGGTTGTAAAATAACACCCTAGAATTCTTATTTTTATCAAAGAATATTAGATGTGATTTAGTTCCTGTTGGACATGTATTGTACTTATAGAACCACTGTTCGCACAGTCAGCTTTGGAGACATCTTTAAAATTACAGATATCTTAAGTCCTCCATTCTATGATTGATTCCTTGGTTGCCAAATGTGTGTTTGTATTAAAGTAAAAAAAAAATGGCCATTATAATAGTGATACAGGCTCACCTAGGCATTGTTTTCTCAGGGGTGAGATGAGGTGAAAAGAGACTTGTATCAAAATGGTCCAGATAACTTATTTAAAATGCATTTGCACAAGCTTCATTTCAGACATTAAAAGTATCTGAGGTTTAAGAGTCTGTATCTTTAATAAAATCCCAGTTGTATGTTATGCCAGGTATGGGAATGCTGGTCAAAGGTCTTTAGAAGTGTTATCTAGATTTTGAAGAACCCTACATGTTTTCTAAGACAAGTAAACAAGAAAATTTATTGGCAGTTCAAGTTGAACTTTCTCTTTTTTTCTTTTTGAAGTGGTTTCTCTGTCTATATATAATGAAAAACCATAATTGCAAAGATTTGCTTATTTTCCACCCCTCTCCCAAAAGCCTGTCTTTAGCATTTATGGCTCCATTAGAGCTAAAACATAATGAAACATTCTTGTTTAGTACTATGTCAGGTCAAACGTGTCAGGGTCTCAGCCTGAAGTTTAGCAAAACAGAAATTGGGTTGGGGTATAATAGCCTGGCAGAGAGATACCTAGAGTTAACTTAGGGTGGCACAAAATAGCTTCAAGTTGAGCTCTTCAAATAGGGCGGAGGGAGGCAAGACACTGGAGTGTGTGCCTGTCAAATTATTCCTTTCAGTGACCCAGAAAAGCTGAAACCACCCTCAGAAGCAAGTAACAGAATATCCAAAACATTACTCGCTCTGCACCCATTGTTTTGCAAATGCAAAAGAAAGCAGCACATTCCCTAATAGTCCAGTGGATAGTACCCTCTCTGTGAAATGACTTTCTGGCTAGATTTCTATTTGAATAGATTTGTTTGCCCTCAGTTGAGATAAGGAAAAAAATCCGTGATTAAAAGATTCCACTCCAATTTCATTGAAGTTTTTTGTTTTTTCATAAGCTCTCACACATTACTAAATTATAAGAAAAAATAAGGCATAGGTGTCCCCCTTCCCCCTTTATGAGTTTTTCCTTGTTTCTGGTGACCCAGAACTTCTTGTCCTGTCCCCAGAAACTTGTAACAAAATACTCTCTATATACCTGTCCCCAAACAGTAGTTTCCTCCTTCCTGTTTTGCAAACAAGATAGATATCAAAGCACTGCTTTAGTCAAGCGGACTGAAGTATACAAATGACAATAGACTTGCCATTTTCCTTCTAAATACCACAATTATTTTACAAAGTGCACAAAACTATGTTTATTTTTTTTAAAAATTCTTTTTGAATGTTTAACATTTTTATAAACATGGACTTTCTAATTTTACTTTTAAAATTTAATATAGAAACAATTTCCTTATTTCTAATTTTTATGACTAATTTTAGTGATTTGATGACATTCTGTCATTGATACAGTGTATCATTTCATATAATAAATTTAAAGAATTTTAATTTTTTTTTTGTTCTAAGAAGTAGAGAGAACAATTTTTTTCCCTGAAAATTAGGTTACCCAGATTAATAAATATGTCATTTCTATAACTCCTGGTTCTTTGTCCTAATTTCTTTTTGATCAGTTGTGTCAATTTTTAATGTTGTTCAACACTGTAAGTACTATGCCAGCTTTATCACTGGTATTATCTCACTCCCCCTTTAGTTTTTAATTGACAAAAATTGTATATATCATGTACAACATACTTTGAAGTATGTACACATTGTGGAATGACTAAATTGAGCTAATAATACATTACCTCACATACCAGTTTTGGGGAGATGAGAACACCTAAAATCTACTCTCAGTGACTTTGAAGAATACATTGTTATTTATTGATTATCATCCTGATGTTGTATAGTAGAGCTTTTCAGCAAACATTTTTTAAAAAGCTGTAAGCAAAATTCAGTAGAAAACAAAAACTACCCAGCGTTTATTACCTTAATATTTATTGGCTGCCTATTGTGAGACTATGTTAGGAACAATACAAAAGGCTTGCAAGCTATTTGTTTCATTTCATTTTATAAACTATAGTAGGTAGATTCCATTGTTGTTCCCATTTACAGGTGAAGAAATCTTGACAGGAGAAGCCTGAGTGCTTGAGTAACTTTTCATTTTAGCTGATAGGTGGGGCAAGCCAAGATTTGAGCCCAGTCTGATTCTAGTGCTTTGTTCTCAATCCTGCTTCGTGTGATAATATGTGCTTTTTGTATTCATACAGATTTTCTGTGTTCTTATGGTCTTCATATGAAGGATCCTATTAAAGACTATATTCTTTAATTGTGATAAAACGCTGTACTTGCTTTATTGAACTGTTTGATTCAAAATGACTATTTGGACTCTGTCGGCTTTATTTATTTATTTTTTTTGGTCTTTTTTTTACTTTTCTTTTTTGGTTCCGGGAATCGAACCCAGGGCCTCGCACATGCTCGGCAGGCACTGTGCCACTGAGCTAAATCCCCAACCCTCTATCGGGATTGAACTCAGAACCCTGTGCTTGTGAGGCAGGTGGCAGAACCACTGAGCTAAATCCCTGGCCCTATACTTTCGCTTTTGTGGAATTATTTACTTCACTGAAATTCTAAGAAGGGAAATATATAGATCATTTTGGAATCCTGCATATACCTTATAACAAAGTTTTATCATAATATTCCTTTGCGTTTTTAAGGTACTCTTTTAAAAGTATTTGTGCTATTATTACAGTGAGGGAAAAAAATACACATTCTTTTTTGATAATATAATAATGTTTCTGAACTTTCTTTGAATTATATATTAATATAATTTAACATTCCTGAGTTTTATTTGGCAATTTTACTTTTACAGATAACTGTACCTTAGCATTTTAAAATTACTCAGCCATTTGAGTTTTTTTCTACTTGTCCATATCATGAAAGATAAAACTTTTAGAAACCAAGATGCAGAAGACATTTAGGATGAGTTCACAGTGTATACAGAGAAGCTAAAGACTGAAATTATCTGAATATATTTTTGGCAATTAATTTTTAATGTGTACATTTACTTTTCAACCCTACAATGAAGTTTATTTTATAATCACAAAATTTCTTTTAAAACCTAGAGGTAGAATGAAGGTACTTCGTACTGAAATAAAATATATAAAAAATCAGACCTAAAGGATGAGTTGTAAAGAATAAAAAATCTGTTTGTGTCTATGTACCTCCCTAATGAAAGTAAGATTTTCTAAACAGATAATATAAGTAACATAGATTTCCAATATTTCATTGTCACTTTTCTTTTACAGAGACGCTGTTCAGTTAAATGTGATTGCTACACGACAGCTTATTCTCCTTGCACAACAAATGAAGAATCTGGAAGTGTTCATGCATGTCTCAACAGCATATGCCTACTGCAATCGAAAGCATATTGATGAAATAGTCTATCCACCCCCTGTAGATCCCAAGAAGCTGATTGATTCTTTAGAGTATGTTTGTTTGAAATTCATATACATTGCTTTAATTCCAAAGTTTTATTTTTTTCTTTTTCCCTTTCTCCTTCATACACTTGCACATACACACATGTATACATTTATTTCTTCCTTTATTCAACAAATAATTGCATATCTGCCATATTATTTTTTATTATATAGATTTATGTCTGAGTGAAGTCTGTGGAACTTTCATACTTATTCATGTATGATGGTTAAAGAAAAGCCTCTGAACAGTTCATGCATCATACTAGGGGTTCTGTTTTTCAGGAATCAGTCCTAGCAAACAAAAAGTACCTCTGGAGATAAGTGATGGGCTGTTTAATAGCAAGGTTCCAATTAACTAAAAGCTACAAACATCTTCCCTTCTTTCCCCCTCCATAGAGTGGAGTATATCAGTGATGGCGAACCTTTTAGATCTTTCAATGATAGCAAATAGCCAGCTGCGGTATGCATGGCATAGGTTCACCACCACTGGAGCGCATCTATAGAAGAGTCTTTAATTATTAGGGAATCAGAGATTTGTTTTTGTTTTTTGGTTTTTTTTTTTTGGTACTGGGGATCGAACTCGGCACCTTGCACTTGACGAAGCAGGCGGCGGGACCACTGAGCTACATCCCCAGCCCCTCCCTAGGATTTTGCTTACCATCTTTCTGAGGACTGGGATCCTGTCAGTAATTATTACGTGAATATTTTTAAGTACATGATGGATGTGTATTAAGTGAAATATGCATATACCATGGCCCAATTCTTACTTGCTTCAGCTTATCCGTTCTTATCAAGTGAAATAAACAAGATCAGAGTCTATATATATATATATATATATATATATATATATATATATACACTTCATTTTTCTAACTAGTCGTAGTCAAAAGTGTTCACTATTTCTGGGAAAAGTTGATTATTGAAGTTAATGAAACACACTATTTTTTCTCTTGTTATTGGTATATACGAACATCTAAGGGACTAAGAAAGAGCTTGTAACCTAATTATTTATCACCTTTCCTTGCTAACGGGTAGTTTTATGGTAACTCCTGGATTTCCTCTGTAAACTCAGATCATAAGGTTTACTGGCTAAAATCTGCTCTAGTTCTGTAGGGTTGCTGTTTTCTCTTCTTCTCTTTTATTAATTATCCCTGTTTTCAGGTTTTGTTTGTTTTGTTTTGAGACAAGGTCCTGTTTTGTAGTCCAGACTGCCATTGAACTCACTGTGTAGTCCAGGCTGGCCTGTCCTGCTGTGATCCTCATGCCTCCGCCTTCTGAGTGCTAGGATTACAGGCCTCTGCCACCAGGCTCAGCAAACTCCCAGTTTTCAAAACTCATCTCCCTTGTGGAATTTTTCCTAAGTTGGATAGCAGTCTCCCTTCATTTTATATAATGTTCTTTTCCTTCCACCTATAAAAAGTACTTCTGCATACAGAAGAAAATTTGTCTCGATCATCTCCATGTTATGCTTCCCTATCAGTTAGTGTGTATATCATTAGAGTATGCCAGTAATGAGTTCACTTTTATGCTCAGCATAGACAAAAGGAAAAAAAATCTACAAGCAAGTATAGAACATACAAGAATCAGAAATTTAGACCAGGAAACACTATAGACATAACTAGTCTGTCACATTACTTTTGCAGATGATCTGAGTAGACCATTTTTTTCAGAGATACTGAGAGAATTAGAGGAATTTTGTGACCTCAAAGTAGGTTAATTGAATTTTCATAGCATGTTTCAATACATTGTCTTTTTCGTTGTTTATTCTAGTACTTATTAATATTATTTGTGAGGACATACAGTTTTAGTGCTTCTTAAGTTTAAATCTTAAGTATTTAGATTATTAGACCATTTATATTCTTAATGTATGTGAATTGCAAATATATAATTAACATGTTACTCTGTTAGGTGCTTCTGTACAGATCTATACATAATTCCTAATGTGAAATATTTGAGGCCAGCTATAGTTTAGAACTTACTTGGGCCTTAGAAACTACAATTTATGTGTTGTGTAATATAAAGCAATTTCACTTTGGTCTGGGGTAGCATTCTTGATCAAACACATGAAGTATGTGACAATTTAAGCTAAATGATATTTTTATTTATCTTCTTAGGGTTTTTTGGTTTTAAAAAATTTTTTATTTGTGCTTATTAGTTTACAAAATACTGTGTTTCAATGTGCTATTTTCATGTGTGCATATAACATTTGATTATATCCATTCCCCCGTAGTCCTCTTTTTCTCCCTCATCGTTATTCCCTTTCTCCTGTCTAGTAATAATTTCCTTTCCACATTCAGGTCATCTTTTTTTTTAAGATTCCACATATTAGGGAAAATGTGAGACATATCTTTTTGAGTATGTTATTTATAAGCTAAATGATATTTGTAAAAGACTGTAAATAATTTTACATCAGTTTTTGTAATCTTCCATATAGTTTATGAGAGAACTCTTGACTGTCAGACCTTTTTGGATGTAGAAGTTGCAGTTAAGAGATTATGGACCTGTAGTTGATGTTTAATTATATTAAGACTTTTTTTCGTAAAAGTTATTGTCTAATAATTTGAGTCAAAGAAACATATGCCTGTTTTTTGGTTTTTATTTTGACTTTTTAGAAAGCCACTTTTAATTGAAAAATAAAGTCATTCATTTCAAATAAGACTGTAACAAGAACAAACAGATATGTTTGAATGTTCAAAGTTCACCTTAATAGGTTTTTTTTATTCTATAGTAAAATACCTGGAAATATTTTTATATGCAGTTTCTTTGTTTACAGATGGATGGATGATGGCCTAGTAAATGATATCACACCAAAATTAATAGGAGACAGACCTAATACATACATATACACAAAAGCTTTGGCAGAATATGTTGTACAGCAAGAAGGAGCAAAGCTAAATGTGGCGATTATAAGGCCGTCAATTGTTGGTGCCAGTTGGAAAGAACCTTTTCCTGTAAGTTGTTAGAAATTTTATGAATAATTGGAATTGAGGATTTTAAGCCATAACTACATAAAAAGACTTAGCAGTTTTGATTTGAGAGTAGGTACTGTTTGCCAAATGTGGCTAACAGTGGCAAAGCTGTTGCTGTTCATAGGAAGAAATAGTATTATTGATACTTTTATTTCTAATGTGATGGTGTGTATGTAGAAATGTAGATCAACATTTTAAAAATCCTTATCAAAAGTTATGTCTAAAGCTGTAGTATTGAGTAGGAAGACCATGATTTCATTTGCTTTTTTATTACCAAAAAGAGGCCCTTCAAGAGGTAGATTTCACAAAGTAAGCAAGGTGCAAGAGATTTCTGTGATAACTTGCTGTTACATTATTTGTAAATCCCTAGAATAAAACAAACCACATATATAAACTAAAAGGTAAATTGATTTAGGAACAACCTTAGATCTGTGTAGTGGTAGTGATAACATCTCTTATTGCTTGGATAATTACTCTATTTTCCTGTTTTACTCAGTAAATTTACCTCTAGTCAGGTCGCTACATTAGTAAATAGTATAAAATCGAACTTGAACAGAATGGGCTTAAGTTAGTACAATTAAGTATACACTCCTTTTTATAAAATACCCTTTGTAGAGAAATAATGGAAAAATAACCCCTTGGAAATATTTTACTTAGTCATTTACTATCCCAGAGGAAGGTGACTTCTGTTTGGGCTGGGACAATATTCTGGACTGAGTGTAGACTTTTTAGTTTTTGAAAGAAAATTATGAAGTATATATTTGGAGTTGTAGATTTCGGATAATCTCTAGATCATGTTTCTAAGCTCCCTTCATTCTCCTTTTAATTTTTGGCATTAGGGATGGATTGATAACTTCAATGGACCAAGTGGTCTCTTTATTGCGGTAAGTAAGCTTTTTGATTTACTTAATATTCTCTATTTTTCTGTTTTCTTTTTCTTTTTAAATTAAATATATATACACACACACACACACTTTGGCTTATATATCTTAAAGTGTTGTTTTTAATTTCAACAAAGGCAGGGAAAGGAATTCTTCGAACAATGCGTGCCTCCAACAACGCCCTTGCAGATCTCGTTCCTGTAGATGTAGTTGTCAACACAAGTCTTGCGGCAGCCTGGTATTCTGGAGTTAATAGGTATATGAGATGATGATGTTGCTTATTAAATATGTAATAACCGAGAAGGGAAAATTGAGCTACTAGTGTTAATTAATTCCTTAGTGCTGATACTGCCATACCAATATTTAGTCAATATCACTATCAACTGCAGAAGTTGCTATATTGCAGGCAAAAAACGCATGGGCCAGTAGACCATCAGTAGTAGTGAAAAATTAATGTTAATTCTCACGTACATTTTACAGAATATGTAAGTTCATTAGTAATTAAAAGTAAGGGAGAAAAGCCTTCCCCAAAGATGATATTTTAATCCCAACTAAAATCTGGTTTAAGTTTGACAAGGAGTTGAAATTCAGAGAATGGTTTATATATCTCAAACCTGGCCCTCTAGAGCAGCTTTCATCAATGCAGGAACATCCCTTGAAAAGACAATAGTAGCATTTACAGGAAACACCTAAACTTTAACTTTCCTATTAACTTAATTTTTCAAAGTTAATAAACTGCTCTTATTT